ATTTTAAAATCTTTTTAGCAATTGTTTAGCCAACATTATAAATTTAAAATATTTTAAATTAAAATAACCAAGAGAATTTAGAACTCTGTCTGATGCTTTACAAACAAATATTTTGGCGAAGTTGTTGAAAAATGTAACCATAGTGTATGAGTCTTAAGTTACTTGTTAAAATCTTTATGAAAACTATCAGAGCCCTTCCCTAAGCTAGGGCATCTCGATCAGCCTCAGTCAAAGACCTTTCCTGCTTTTTATCCACCTTTTTTGCGTTGTTTTGTTTGGTGAAGAGCCTTTCCTTTGCATTGGTCTTTCGTCTTCGCTTTGGCATTGTCTGTTAAATTACGTATACGCCTCGCAGCGCACAACTTCCAACCGTTGGCTGATGTGAGTGTGTGTGGCATGCAGCAAAAGCCGCTTGTCTGTCAGAGTCGAACTTGAAAACTTTCTTGCGTTGAGATTTCTTTCTTTTTTTTATTTTTTTGGGTTGGGCGCAAAACATAGGAACAACAACAAAAATGAGTTGTAAATGTCAAAAGCGTTTGTAGCATGCCGCAGACAATTCTCAAATGCTGGCAATCTGCAAAGCAATTTGAAAAGAAATGAAAATATGTGCAATAATTTACACCCTAGGCAATTTTTCCCGCTATGCCACGGCCCCATACTAACATCAATTCTTGTTTGGATTTGTCGTTATTTTAATACCCGTTTCATGTGGAGCATATGGGAATTCATAATATTCGATTGTCTCTCTTCACTTTCGCATCCATCATGTTTTTGTATACTATTCTTAGTTTTTATTTAATAGAAAATAAAAGTTCTTTATAATATGTTGAAAGAAACATGCTTAATTTTTGCATTTATATTATTGTCGTTATGCAGTATGCAGGCATTAAAAATAATAAATAAAAAATAAATTAATTAAGTAACTTTAATTGTAACAACAAATATCCTTTGGCTGTTTCGTAAATATTTTTCATTTGGTTCATGTGCATAAAATTCCTGTTACATTTCCACGAACTGTTAATAAATATCAGAACAAATTTATAAAATATTTTTCATTGAAAAGTAACATTTAATTGAGTTTCTTTATCCTTTTCAATTGAGTGATGTTTTATTGGTTGTGCTACCGAATGAAAGCGAGTATTGGGTATCACAAAGTCCAAAACCCCAACTGGGGGTCTCTGGCTTCCATTTGGTCCTTGTTGCTCGTGGCATGACAACTCTTCAGCAGCCGAATGACGATTCTGATGGCCACCCATGTCCTCCGCTTGCCAGCGTGTGTGTGTGTTTTGGCTGTAAGCAGCTGTCAGTGATTTCTGACAAATTGATTTGACAGTCGACAGGCGACCAAGGGGAACCGAAATGCGGGGGTGGTACGAACTCTGGGCCAGGCAGCAAGTCGGGCGCGTGTGCTAAAAAAAGATGAAAGCCGTCGCCGTTTGCCGTTTGCTACCACTCTTGTTGCCATGTCTATGCGTGAGCGAGACGGAGCGAGAGAGGCTGGGCCGCTCTCCTAGCCGAAAAAAAGAGAAAGCCACGAAGCAGAAGTTAAAGCAGCGCCAAAGAGTTGTTGGCCCAAAGAGCGAAGCGTGGTGAATTTTTTTATGCTGCCTGTGTGTATATGGATATATTTGTTATTGTCATACTCTGCAGCCCAAAGGGTATGCTTATTTGGAAAAAAAAGTAAAAAAGTATGCACTGGAAAAAAAAGTATTAACATTTTAGTGGAACCCAGCGGAAAAACTTGATTACTTTCAGTTAGCCATTCATAATTTTAGCTTTCGAATTATAAATTCAATGCAAGAGGAATGATAGTCACTCATATATTCAAACTCTTTTGAAAATATTTGTTTTAGTTTAATTTCTCGATTAATATTGTTAAAGTATTGATAAACAAATAACTGTAACCTGTTTTTGTTTTTTGCTTTTAAAATTATTAGATTTCATTTAATTAAAACAAAAAATAATGAACAATCATTGCAGATGTTATAATACTCTTACTACAGCATTAAATTAATTGTAGGAAAGAGGTTTCAAGTAAAAACCATATTGAAACTAATTTGAAAGTATTCAAAAAGAATGGTACAAAAAATGTAGTCTAGAAATACAAAAACCGCTCGCACAGACCCAGTCAATAAAATAAAGTCACTTTAAAGAATTTTTTTCGCTTTCTGCTGCCAGTTAGTTACAGCTAGTTACCTGCTGCGCTGAGCTCAGCGCAGTAACTTTAGCTCCTGCTTGATTGACGTTCCAACTGATTGACTAGACTAGTGACTGACGGACTCGACTAAAATCGGAGGGGGTGCGCCCTGCAGCATAACAAATGGCTGCGGTGGGTGGAAAGTGGGAGTCAGAGTCGGAGTCGGAGTCGGAGCCGATTTTAAACAGGCATGGGGAAATGCCATTAGATGAGCAGCTGCCAACGTCAGTGAACGGCGTCTCTCACTTGACAGTTTTATTTATAAACTGTGCAAATAAAACTGTAAATCACTAGGGACACAGTCAGCGAAAGCGTAGGAAAAGTGACCTACATAGATGGCAGGCTTGGCCAAAAAAAAAAGATGTACGATATAATGCTCGTCACACTGGGAAAACGAACGAACGTTGCCGCCACAAATCAAACAATTAATTTTACTGTCTGAAATTCCAGCACTAAATCAACAGCCAAACAATTGAACCATTTAACTATGTAAATAAAATTAATGCTCCCTGAAAGTGGAAGCTGGCTAAGTATGGGCGGGAATGCTGATGAGGATGGAGACAAGACAAGGGAGGGGCATGCACGCCGGACAGTTCCACCTTATGCCGCCAGCAAAGCAAAATATCCATTAAAAAGCAATCAATATATGGAAAATAAATGCCAGTCACCCTGCCTACCATTCGTCCTCATCTCATTTCATCTAGTTAAGAGCCTCTGCCAGCCGCATAATCTGAATTTAATTTACCACGCAAACACACAGCAACAACATCAGCAACAGCAACAACAGCAGCAACGACAGCAACAACAGCAACAACAGCAACAACAGCAGCAGGGAACCAAAAAATAAGGCAAACAAAAAGTGAAAAATGTCAAAAACGAAAATGAACTTTCCAGGGGGTTTTGGCCCCAGTGTTAGTGTTGGCTGGCGAATGAATGGCCATTAAGTAGCACACCCATAGAAAAAGGACCCAAGGAGCTCAAGCTCAAGGTGAGTTTGCCAGAGAGGGAAAGGACATGGTGAAAGAGAAAGAGAGAGAAAGGCGGCCGAAAATATTCCACAGTGAGTTGCCATTTTGCTGCTCCAGCATAATTTGTATGCCCCAGCCTCCAGATGTTCCCCTTCCCCCTCCCCCCTTCACCTCCTTACTTGACCTGATTCTGGTGACGTCATTCGCAGGGTAGGCCTCACTGCGAATACGTAATGTGCGAATCGGGCTGCATTGGGCTGCTGGTGGAACTGGCGGAGCAAGTGGCTAACTTGATTAAATAGGAATACATTATATATATTATTTCATTTGTTCGAGCACAAAGGCGGCGGAGCACAAAGGGTATGAAAGACCAGCCACGAAGTTTTCCATTCAAGTTGACTCCTCGGAACAGAACTGAAAGAACGCTGTCGTTTTTCTCGTCTATTTGATTTTGACGTGCCATTGACCAGCCACAGAACTGATATCTTCAGTTTTCAGCTGCAACTTCGTGCGGGAAAAAGGAAATGCCGTGGAAGAGGAGCAGCCAACATGCAACTTTTGAGGCAGGGAGAACTGACAGCTGGCACCAACTTATAACTCAAAGTGCTATGGCTCTGTGGGCCCCGCGGCAGCTCCTCCTTTTTTATATCCCACGAACAAGAAAAAACATACACACACACATCGAAAGAGTGACGGTGAAAAGATACAAAACTTGCAGAAAACGAGAGGGAAAAAGAAAAGTTTCAGTTACGTGCTGTTGCTTTTAATTGAATTTTTTCCCACTGTAGCTTCTGCTTTCTCCCTAACTGGCCGCTGTGGGCAGCCAATGGTCCAATGGCCTGACCAAACACATCCGCCCGCCTCTTCCGTCGGTGTCCCTTTTCCCGCCTTTCCCGCTTTCCCGATTTCCCCGACCCCATCCACCGGTTTTCCCAACCTTCATCAGCATGAGCAGACTCTAGCTGGAGGGCAGTTTTCTTGTTATTTCCAACGCGCAGCCAAGTCGCAAGTCCTTAAGCGGTTTATTTTGCTTCACACTGATTTGCAGGCAGCGGAGGTATCCCGAGGATACCCGTCCTTGCACACCCCCCTTTCGCCACTCTTACACTTGAAATTAAAAATAAGGATTACTGCTATCTAAATACAAGTTATGCGATTATTTGGTGTGAAAAGTAGGTGCCCTGAAGAAAATATACAGTTGAACTTCCACCTTCCACAGCAACACCCAGAAGTGGATTCTCTTAAGTTAGAATTACATTTCCGGGTCAAAATTAATTAACATATTTTCATAAATTGGCCCTTTTTATTTGGATAATAAGATTTGTTCATGGTAAGCAAAGTTGTTAAATAAGTTACCAAACTTTTCTGTAGCTAGCTTCTTTACTCATAAACTCGATTTAAAACCAACAAATTTAGTATTTTATTTGTTTTTTTTTTGTTATAAATTGTAATGTATTAAAAATTCTATTTTAAAAACAATAAAGACTGTAAAATGTTTTAATATTTTTGTTTGTTTAATCTAAGGAAGAAAATCCATAAGAATATTATGAAAATTGTTTTCCTAGCTAACACTTCTGTCTGGATTATGTGCTCCCTTTTTTATCTCAAAACATTTTTCGCTGTGCAACTAGCCTCGATTGCTGCTGCCAGTTTTTATGCAGCAAGTTTTTAATTAAGAAGTTTCAATTTAACATTGCCCATAGACTGCACTTCGCTCTCCAAAAGCGCATTATCATAATAATTTACTTACTCACTTAGCGGGCGGGGCACTTCAGGGCATAATAGTGGGCAGGCTTTTTGATGGCGCTCCATTTAGTTCCTTAGTTCCCAGTGGCAAGGAGATAGCTTTCAATTTGGAAGTATATTTGTTTTTTTTTTAATACAATCATTACCGCACATAACCAAGATTTGGGACTACTAAGGACTGCATGGTGTGCTTTTGGTGCCATTAAAAATGAGAAATCATTTGACATGTCTTGTGGCTCTGCTAGTTTTAACCATATGCTTCTTAGCAGTTTGCGCTTACTACACCATCATGCACCCGAAACAGATTCGTAAGTTGTCGACCCTGTTTCCTGCTTATCCTGAAATCCAATCGCCCGCAGATCTGGAAAGCTGCTATCTCAAAGGAGGCTTTTGCAGGGAACTGTGGAACTGCGAGGAGAGGTACCAAAGTCGCCTCCGCACCACGTGCATCAACAAGCGAAAGGTTTGTTGTATGCCCACGATCCAGATGAAAAGTCTGCAGGATGCCGAAGATTACGCCGAGTGAAGGTCACCCGCATCAGGAACTATCAGCCAGATCGCTCCGAAACCATACGATTTCATTTGCAAGTACTATGTATTGAATGTACCATATCATAGGCAATTTTTATTATTAGAATAATCAACTGAAAGTATTATTCCGGAACACATATTTCTAAATTTGATGTACTGTCCTGGGAAATTTTCAAGAAAGGAAATTCGAAAGTGTTCTTTAATATTCTGATTAATCTGTTCTGTTCTTCTGTCCATTTTCCTTATTGATATTAACGTTTTAACTCTAGAAAATGAATTCAAGCCATTTAACTTAACTACTAAAAAATCGTATATTTCTTAAATAATTTTACTTCTGAAAGAATTATCATAAGCTCTCAATGAATGTTTACGTGATTTTTATGACTTGGATATTGGCTATTGAAATTTAAGTATTTTATTTTTAATAATTCACTATTTTAATCAAATCAAATGCTATTTGACATCTATTTGAACATCCGAAACGGATAACGTATACGTATTTGTTTGTTTCATGCAAGGGGAAAATTTAATCTTAACTATTTCTCTACATTTCATTGGCCGACTATCAATTCCACTGGTCCATGAATTGAATCATATGCCTGCGATAAGTTTAACATTCTGTCTGGCCAGCATCCTTTCGCCACCGCAATTCGACCCCTCTTCCCGAAAGGCCCTGGGCTAATTTAGTGAGTTTGCTTTGCCATTTTCCCCACCAATAACACTTATAACACTCATTTGTCTGGGCCGGTCACGACGGCTTAGCCCAGTCCATTCCCACCGGGCACTCGACGAGCAACACTTGGCATTATCCCACACATATCGGGCGCCTCACTGAAGACCGCTCCACCCCTTGTTGCCATTTTCCCATCTCTAATGAAGCGCAAATGTTGATGTAAAAATTTAATTTAGTTCGTAACCCAACGATGCCGCACACACAGGTCCTGGCGATTGGGCTGGGGCGAATGGAATGTCCAAATGTTTATGCATCGTGTGGCGAAACGCGTGTTTACCTTCTAATGTGTGCGTGACATGGACCCATGGGTTTTATATGTATGTGCACACCCCAACAAACACACACATGCATTGAATTTTACGTACACGCAGGGATGTCCTTCGCTTCGGTCCCTCCGCTGGCAACACAAAAAATAATAAACGATGCCACCACGTACATGTATTAAAAACAAAGCGCAGCACGGAAAACGCTGACAGGCCCTTTGCCTTCGGTTGCTCCAGCTTCGGCTCCATCCACGGATCCTGGAGGACACCTCCTCCTCCTTGTGCTGCTCCTGCTCCTCGCTCAAGCCATCCTTTGGCGAGTCCCGTGAAAACCATGGTCGATGAGACGCTGCGAACCGGCAACAGAAGCCCGTCACAAAGCAAAGCTAACAAACTGTGAGCGGAGCGGAGCAGCGACCGGAAGGGATTGGAGGAGAGGTTGGTGTGGACTGGAGGGGCGTGACATGGACGTGGCTAAAAAAAGGGGGGCTGTCGGCCCAGACATTCAATGTCCTTCGCTGACTGCCAGCGATGTTTACAAGCACAGTGCCCGCAGGCAGGCCTAAAACTATTAGGCCAAGTTTGAAAAATGTTTTACTTAATATTGCTTTAGCTAATAAATCCAATTATGACTGCATATTGATAACATTTCATTAAATTTTTATAACATTGCCAGTGGGCACTAAAATAACAGAATGATTTTATCGAAAATAAATATCAAATGAAAGCTAAATTAAGTTATTTTAAAAGCACCACTAAATAAATATCAGCAATTTATTGAATATCTGATACGAAAAATCAGTAGAATCTTATAATATATTAGATTACCAATTGTTTTTGATAAATTTTGTATATTTCAAAATTTTCAAATTTTATCAATGTTTTTTAACATAAGCATAACCAAAACAAGGCCGAAATAACAATGCAAACTTTAAATGTAGTTACTTTACTAATTAATGAAAAAAAGACTAATATTTTGTTGAATCCTATCTCCAAAATTAAGTTTCGGTTTGTCCGCACCTTAAATCAATGTATCCGACACACTGGCAGGCTGGCAAAACTAACAAACAACATCGGCGGGTCCTGGCAAAGGACACAGCACATGGGTGGGGTGAAAGTTTAGCCCTTGCTACCCCCACTTCCCACTACAGCTACCTGCTCTGAAGTCCTCCTCTTGTTTATGGCTTTGTTTGCACTTTTGTTTATGGGTGTACATTTTAAACGCTATGAGCACCTGCTCCGCCATCCGCCATCATGTGTGGCTGCCTTTGTATGCTGTTGCCGTTGCCGTTGCTTATGTGACCGTTCCGTGACTTGTACTTCCATCCCCCTCCTAAACCCCAACCACCAACTACCCCATCCCAGATTTTGCGACCCGGTTCAGCGATGGCCACAAAACGAAGCCAGCTCCAGTGTCCGCTAACAGATGCAGTGATTTTAAGCGTTCATCAAAAGCTCCTGTTTGACATTTAATTGTTGCACATTGTTGTCGCTGTGGCCGAGCACCGAGAGTCATGGAGCCATGAAACTTGGAGCCTTGGTTCTACATACACGTCCACGGACAATCAGGGTTTCCTGGGTCATTGTTCCTTCGGTTCAAGGTGAGCTGCGGACGAATTGAACACGGCCAAACCGTAAAAGACCAAAGTCATGTGCTTTATTACGCATTCAACGGCAATGCGGCAGAGGATTATACCCAAGCCCGTAAAGCAAACACAGGAATCCAGGTGTGTGCATTGTCATTAGAGGTGGGAATCAGAGCGTGACTCTGTTGGATTCCTGGGCTTGGAATGGCAAATTACAGTTCGTTTGTCAGCGGATTGAAGTTTGAATTTAAAATCTTAAGGATAAGTATCGTACTTATAATAATAATGAATATAGAGTTCCATAAAATTGTAATTTTGGTTTACAATAAAGTTACCAAGGTTTTATCAAAAACTTAATATTCAAAAGAAAAACCGTTTAAACAAAGTTTTATGTAAACAATTAGAAAGTGTAGAGGTCAAAACTTATAAAGCTACTTCGGATTCTTGAAAGGTAAAAGGTATTCCAAAGTATTCCTATTAAATGCCAGGAGAAGAGGTTCTTCTCAAATGAAAGGGAAATAAAATAACAAACGTGTTAAAAAAAAACGAAATCTTTTAAATATGAAATGCCGTCCCAAAGTAAGATGCCATTTAAAATATTCCTTGCCAAGTGAAGTTAAGAAAACTATTTAATAATATATTAAGGTTTTTAAATTAAAGTTTAAAGAGCTCAGGTGGGTGAAGGTAAAGGCCTCGCCGTCATACGTGTGACAAAATGTCCATTCCCTTGGTAGAAAAACTTGCCAAAGTTTACACGTGTTGGCAAACGTTTTGTGGCTTCAGTTTTTGGATTATTTTTAGTTTTGTCCTTCGGGTTGGCTTTTGCCTAATTTCCAACTGTCACCCGAGATGGCTTCTGGACCCGGAACTCACACACAGATACACTCGCACACATATGCGACCATTTTCTAATGGCCTTTGCGTGGTCAAGCATTTAAGCGTTGCGGGCCCCGAACCCCAAAAACCCGTTTAGCCCTCACCTTTGACTCTATGTCACTTTGGTTTACTTTTGTGCAACCGCAAAAGTCGTTGTTGCTGTTGGACCATCTGCACACAAACACACACACTTATCCATGTGCACATCCTCACTCACATACACACACCTTTTCTGACCATTTCGCACACGATGTTGCGGTCGTGTTGACATTTTAAATGCCTTTTCATTTGTCTCCCGCCACTTGAATCGCTTTGGGCGCTAATTTCCTACCATTTGCGCTTTAATACCGCAAAATTTGACTAGACATTGAATTTAATTGAAAAGTGCGGTCTGAATAAATCGTTTAAGTAGAAGTCTGTTTTGACAGGTCCCCATCGCAGACATGCCAGCAAATGTAGCATGTTCGAAATATATATGAAACGTGTTTATAGACAGATATAACTATTTCAATATTAGACAAAGTGCATTGACAACTCTGCTTTTCATAACAATTAATGGAATCCGTTACTAAAACTATGTCGATAAGTGGTGTTTGGGGTCACCTTTAAATATTCCCTGATAACTAAAAAATACTTCTATCAACAAAATCCAAAATTAAGCCAATTATTCATACGAACTTAGCTTACTAAAGCATTATTCTTATAATTATATTTTTTAACTACTGCTTTAGTAAAAACGACATTCCAAAAAGACTGAAGGAATACAATATTCTAAAAAAAACTCGTACCTCTCTGTATAACAATATGACTTAAAAAAACATACATGCGTATTACCAACTTTTCTAACAAATATAAATCACTTGAAATGTGTAAAAATAGTATCTCCAAACAAATGTTTCTTTTTCCTCAAGCCCAAACTTTTCACAACTGCAACATGTCTGATTTTTTATAACATTGTAGATATGAGGAAAAAGTTTGAAAATTATATTAAGATGTTTTTTAAACTCTGCATACTAATGACTCCAGAGTGACATTAAAGCTTTGTCATGCTCGATTCTCATATGTGTGCATAATCCTCCAGACACTAGCAGCCTCTCTCTTTCCAACATCTTACCTCTCTCTTGCACATATTTTCTCCATTTCACATCCGCTTTGGCCGCAGCTGGTGGAAAGTTTTGCTGCAAATACAAAATATTTTCCATATTAGTTTAGAATTTTCTCTCCCCGGGGAGTTCTGGTTTTTCTGCTTTTTAGTGGTGGCATTAATTAAATTTTGATTTTCCTAAGGATTCTTCCATCTGTACTGGGGTAAGAGTTTTAAGTTTCCAGTTTCCTCCGCTTTTGGGACACATTCCAATTGAATTTTTTGGCAGAGCCGTTGGGGAGAAACAGTCGCAGGCGTTTGTTGGTGGGGCAATTAAAAGCGAATTTTCTGCACGCAGCACTCACAAAGCGTTTTGAATGTAATTAAAAAATATCACGTATACGACGCATGTGCCCCAAGGGGCCGATTTGCGAGGCCTATTTATGACCGCCCAGCATGCCCATATTTTTTATCCCAAAGAAGCATGCACCTTTTTCGGTATTTAAGTTTCATTTTTATGGGAAGCAGCTATTATTGCCAAATCTATTTGGACGAC